TTTACTTGTGTGTCGTACGGACTATAATAACGCGGGGGTTCGCCCACGAGACTCCCCCTTTTATGCACTTAAAAAATATTGCTTGTATACGCTTTATGCCTCTCGTTAACAGACTCTTGTGGGCTACGGTGTGTACGTGATGTACGTACTACACACGCAAATACAGACGCACACATTCGATATACACATGCAGCACACAAAACACTCCGGTGTGACGATTTATTTTTCACGCGGTTCAAAATTTTTCTCGTCATACAGCCCCTTATTATGTATGTATTATGGCATTATATAACTTATTATGGCTTACGGTTACACTAAATTTTTTTATTGTACACTGCCGCCTTGACCACCATTATCGTGATCGTGAGCAAGGCACAAATCTATTTCCCTTATTTTATCTTTTGATCCTCGGACTTGGTTGGCGAACAGCCCTACAATAAACGTGAGATATATATGTTTGCGCACAATAATAAATTAACGAGTTTTATATATATGCACAATAAAAAATTTGTATTGTGCATTTTTTAAAATGCGAATTATTAAGTAAGATAACATTAAGTAAAATTTATATTTCTTCTTTTTTTAAAAAAAGATATATAAGATAGCAATATTTCTAATTGCATGATATGATATGTTGCACCACGAGATTGTAATTATAATTATCATGTCGTAAATTTATTCGTGAGACGATAAATTAGAGCTCGGTACGAAGCGATCGCACAGGCAATCGCGTTGGATAATGCCGCACCATGAATGAGCTCGATTAAGCGTGAATATTGAAACATTAACGTAACTGCCCTGTCTGCAACAGTGATTTACAAAATTGCCCTTCTTGCCTGTCGCCTGGCAACCGCTTGATTATTTAGAAATTCACCTAATATCAATTTCCTTGTCTTCGATAATTAAAATATTAATAATCTGTATAAAGCTACAACCATCAGAATTTCTTTTACTTTTAACATTTATCTTAAGTGCGACGTGAATATTTCAGAATTTCATCAACTAATGAGGAAATTGAGGAAAACCCACGTTATACATTATGATCGATATCGTAAGATACTTTTCTGGAAGATATACGCTTACAATCTTATACGAGTTTCCTTACGAGCAACTAACGATGATTCACAAAAGTTTCCCTCTGATAATTCGCCAGCAAAGTCAGAAACATGAAACAAGTTGCTTATTTACTCGAGGATCATAATACATCTCAATCTCAGTGTATTGGAAACGAGAGTTCATTCATACTATGAAAGACATTGTTAACGTCTGTTCGACTGTCTCCGAATAAAAAAAAAATAAAAAATTTAGGATTAGAACTTTCTAACTTTAAAAATGAAAAATTTTTGTTATAGGGATAATTATTTTGTTATAGGGACTTATATAAAAAGGAATATATTGTAAAAATTCATTTTTGTGTATAAATTAATTGCGCAAAATATAAAAGAAAAAAATTTATTTATCTAATGAATCGTATTTTTTAATATTTTTTAGAACAAATGCTGTTAGAATAAAGAGAGTGAAGAATTATATTAATTTTTCATATATTGTTCAATATAAGGTTGAACAATTTCTCTACCTCTGTAAAGGGACAGTTGGACAGAGGCATCATTAATTGTCAGAATACAAAGACTTAAATATTTAAAATGACAGTACTCGCCATGTTCATTATTTATTGTTCATATGATATGTAATGGCGAAGTTGACTCAATGATAATTAACTAATACATATAAACCGATACGTAGCTTTCTACGTATAAATTATCATTGTTGAATACGAAACTTTTATAATTTGAATGTAAGTTGTACATAAGTAATATGAATAGCAATCGACAATCACTTCTAAGTTGATCTATACTAGATACTAACATTCTGTTTTAGATAATATTATTCTACAATATATATTCAATTCATTATATAATTAATGTATTTTATACCAGGATTTGTCTTATCACGTACGATGTTTCGTACGTGCAATTATACAATTAAAATATAAATATATTACATAAGGCACGTAATTGCATTCAGAGCCGTTCTCGTGTGTCTTTTTAATCTCCTTTGCCCTCGTCTAATTTTACTGTCAACTAGCAAATTCTTTCAAATCACCGTTCTTTTGTGTCCGAAGAATATGCAATGACTTCCTGTCATTAATATATTTAATCGCATGACATTTTCGTCATTTCCCAGCAAAGTTAGTTTGCAGAGAACGAAGTGCACAATGAGCGAATCGGGCTTTCTATTGTGTCTATTATCTTCTAAAAATATTAATATATGCGTTGTAACAAGTACACAAATATATACATCTTTATCATGCATGAAAAACGATTCACATTTTGTCTTAAACCGACAAAAAGAAGGCACGAGAAATGGTCTCTGCGGAAGTGGTTTATTTTATTTCAAATTCCCATCTCATAGTTTTTTTACTTTTTTTAAGTTTTTTCAAACGTAATCATATAAAAATAGATTATTTCTCCCAAAGGAAAAAATTGATTAAACTCTAAACATTTTAAAATAACACTATAATACATATATACTGTCACCCACTGAATTCATCGTAGAAGTCTTCGATGATTCAGTAATGTCATACTCTTACTAGTTTCTTTAAATATTTACATTTTAAATATTTACATTTTTATTTACATATTTACAGACAGGCCATTCAAGTGATAATAATGAAAGCAAGAAGTAAACAACTGTCAAACAATGAGAAGGGAGAGATGACATAGTTTTATTGTATAACATGGTACGCGTGTGATATGTGCGCACGTGGAAGAAATTGTTTGAGCAATTAAGTGATTTCTGCAGATCGAATGCATATTCGCGATGATCAGTGATGAAGGTGATCGCGCGACCAGTTCGCGGAAAGCTATGGGCGGCACGATACTAAGAAATCGTGCGATCAACGTCCGTCTGCGGATGACTTTCCATATAAAACAAAATGGAAGAAACATGACCTAAAAGTGTTGTTTTTATTCAATGCAATGCATCTGTACAGCACAATATGCAATGTCGATATCAAAAGTTGAACTTAAAAATTTGCTTAGACAAATACTAAGCTAAAAATATCTTGCATACGAGATTGTCTGATTTCATTGCATATCATGTTGCAAGAACAGATTTATTGCATTTTACGATACTTCGGCTTAAACATTTCTTTCCGCGAACTTTCTTTCGATGCAACGCAATGGCTGCGCGCTCTGACATAATTCTATAATTATAGCAAACGAATTCGACCTCTAAACGGCCTAGCCGATAACCACCTCTAATCTCGATGATAAAGTGATGAAAAAAGATCTGCTAGAATATCTACACAAGAGAGTTTTTAAAAGGAATGAGCGGATGGCGGTGGAGGGGAAAAGAGTCGAGCAGATCTGATGAAGTTAGAAGAAGACGCCAGTCGAGGACACGACCATGTTAATCTCCTTCCATGCCTCGGGTCGTCCAATGGCCGATTAAGACTTTATCTCGATGTATAACGCTGTACTGACGATCCGTGGAAACGATAAGTGCTTACGTGGTCTGCTACGTGTAGTAGATCACGCACCAATCGATCTTTCGCCGGTACATTCTCACCCGAGAAACCTACGAGTCTGATTTTTATGCCCCCAAGCTAATTGACTATAACGCAATCCAATCATTATCCCAATCATTATGTTTTTTTTTTTACTTTTAAAGAAATATATCCATGTAGAATGAAACGAAAGAAATATAGGCGCGATTGACGATTGTTTCAAAAGTCTACGTTTTCTATTATTAACGTTTGATCATTAATATGCAAAAAGAAATTACAGATTGTAGAGTGAAGATACGCCAACAAACGCGCTCTTCTGCGAAAATTGATTTATATACGGATTTATATCTAAATCGGATCCATATCTCCAGTGCACTCGCAAATTACGCTCAAAATCATAATTGTGACTTTGGCTCTCATCAAAATTACAAATTATCTGGCAATTATCATTTTTGATATTATATTTATTGTTGATTTGACTACTGATGGAAGAAAAATTGCGCTGGATGATGTGCTTCTTCATGGGTTTACTCACTGGATTATCTAAGTAAGGCTTGAAAGTGATGGCATCAGGATTATTCGAAGTCGATACAGTACTGATTGATTTTGTAACCAATTCCGTTCGAGAGAGTTCCACTATTGATTTCCGTTTTACAAGACAAAGAGGTATATCCTGAGGCGGTGTATCGTAGTCGTCCGCATCAGCGTACCTGTCGCAGAATCTTTTCGGCGATGGCATCGCATCGTAGCAGCAAGCAAACATACAATGTTGTCTCTTCAGAGGTGAAAATCTTTGCTCGCATCCTTCGGAAAAGTTAGAAACCACGGAATTTGGCGTGGAATATCTAGGCGAATAGTAGTACGTTTTAATCGAAGGCTCCGTGTAACAGGATTCTCTTAAAGACAGCTCTTGATAAGAAGATGTCGTCGACATTGTAGTAGGACTATCTACGGAGTAAGATGTCGTCGACATTGTAGTAGGACTATCTATGGAGTAAGACAGATTACAGGGCGCTACGGATTCTACTTCAGAGCATGGTTCTGTTCCAGTGCAGTGCTGATAATTAGAGGGATGTTGAGAAGAAATGAAACCAGCATCGCCAAGGATGTGCGTTGGCGATAGTTCATGTTCAATCTGAAGTCGGTCACGCAACAACGAAACACAATTTGTAACTTGTCCTAACGAAGTGTAACTTGTTGTCGTCAAATCCAATGGCGAGTCATCTTGGATAGGGCTCAATCGTTGACATGAATCTCCTCGAAGAGTGATTTCATCTTTGAGACCTGCCTCTTGTTCCAGCCATTTCTGTACCTGACGACGATTTATGCCAAATAGTCTCGCGGTAGCTCTTTGATTTCCCTTTACTCTCTCATCCCGATGGAAAGTGTCGAGAACCTTGAGTTTAAAACTCAAGGGGAAAGATCGTCTACGAGTAAAATTGCTAGACATATTCAAGCTGTTAGAGGGCATGAGAGGATCTACCTCACTGTCCGACAAGCTACTTCTAGATCTTCCAGCGCTAGACCAATCACGAGGACTCGAAGGCAAGGAGTAACTAACGCGATCGTGCATGCGAGGATGCACGTACATAGGATCCATTGCTGAAGTATCTAGTGACGACTCGCCAACAGGTGGTCGTTGATAGTCAACACACGAGGATACAGTTGCTTCTTCCCCTTCGTTATAAACAACCTCTTCCTCATCCAAGTGCACTTCTTCTTTGATCAACGTCCTGGAATATTCTGTCTTCTCCTGCATTTCTTCCTCTTTTTTCTCTTCGGTATGCTGCGTTGTCTCCTCCGACTTTCTCTCTTGCTCGTGCAGGAGTGATGGGATAGGCTTCTCGGAATTCAATGGGCGGCACGTGTGTGCGTGCTCATGCGCATGCACGTGCATGTACGGGCTTGCAGGAGTTCGTGAAGAATCAGCAAAGTGAACGGACGAGGAAGAGCCACCGCTATCAACGCCTTGATGCGATACTGGCGAGAGCGGGATCCGTGGGCCATTGGGAGAACCCACCGATTCATACGGCCCTGACGTCGCCGCTGTGTCTGGACTCGCTGGCTCTGTCTTTATCATCGACGGCGCTAGCAGGCTGTACGATCTCCCGTCGATTGAATCGACGTTCCCATAACTCTGCTGCGGATGATGATTCGGCGAATGATTACGTGCGCTATTATTGATATCGTTCACGTTGTATCGATGTTCCTGATGTGGGGAATGGTAACTCGTTAAAGTTTGATATACCTTCACCTCGTTCCTATCACCAAACGTTGAAGCCGCTTCTGCATCTTGTTGTCTGTCTCCGTTCAATAAGTAGTAATTACGGTCCTGATCCACATGCGCGTCCGAATATCCATGAATCTCTGGTATGTGAACTCTATCTTCGCGTTCTTCGAACAAACGAAGATGTGGTTCCGATGAATATTCTTGATAGGTCACAGATGTTAAACACACAGGCACCACCGTATTGGTGGTAATAGATTGAAGGCAATATTGGGGCGAGGAGGGTGCACTGCCATGCGGAGGATGAGAAGGTGGGGGCCCTTGCTGTGTAGTCAGCTCGTCGCCGTGCTGTCTGGCGAGGTTGAGGTTCAAGGCCGGCGTTGCTGGAATCACAGAACTCCCTGTGACTTCCGTCACAGTATCAGATTTAGAAACACTCGCAGAAGAAGCAGTTGCCGATGAAACGGTGCCAGAATTCCCATTTTCAACGTTATTTCTGAGCTGTTCCTCACACTGCAGCCATTTTTGTATTTGACGACGGTGAATACCGTACTTTCTTGCAGTAGCACGTTGATTCTGCCGACAGTCTTTGTCATGCCTATACGAATCCAGAACCTTGATTTTAAAAGCTGTTGTAAAGATACGCCTGGTACCCATAACGCCCACAGATTTTCGCATATTCTGCTGCTGATGTTGATGCACCGATTGCTTTGTATGAATCATTTTCACTGAGTTATCCTCACTGAGCATCTCACCACGTCAATAAGTTTTTCTTTTTATTAAAAATATTATACACACATAACTATGTCGCACCTGCAATGGCCGTCACATTGATCACAAGTCCGATTATAATGACGATGCAGGTAACAGTTACTACAAATTTCGAAACCGGCACTGTCAAAGACGCACGAGACTACCTTAACGCTTAACATTGCACGATGCGATCTGACCGTGCGGCGCCGGAGTTCCTTTTAGGTCTTGGATGCCGTAACTAATTTTCATCCCCACCGGCGAGTCTGCCGCTGCTTCTCACTGGTCTTTCCCCTCCGCTCTATCGCCATCTCTTGCTCTCTCATTCCTTCGGTCTCTCTTCTTGCACTCCCTTGCGGCCTCTCCTCTGCGTATCCCCACTCGCTCGACACTTCTTTAGCGCTATCTGCGTTCAACCTATCACTTTCATCGTTTTCTCTCTTTTCATTTAATGCTCGCCCCCTCGACACATCGTTGCCCCATTCGTACAGTACGCTAGCTAGTCTACCGCTGAAGGCGGCTACCAGTCATTCTTCTTTCTCTATGCCACCGACCTAACCTCCTCTCTTTCTACAGGATCTCTCGTCATTCTGCCTTGATCGCCTACCTAACTGCCCGCGAGCATAGACACCCCATGTCCTCTCCTTTCTCTCTTCCCTTTCACACCTCGCCGTAAAACTCCGCCATTTTGTGGACTTACTTCCGTTAATGACGCGCGCGGGAAACGTCACGCCGGCATGACGACGACGCTTTCGGCGCCATGTTGTCTACTGCGACTGCCTGCCTGCCTGCCTGTTTGCTTGCTTGCGTTGCGTGCCGCTTAGCAGTTCGCGTTGCAGCCAGCATGGAGCCCCGATTTTTGCTCGCCTTTCTCTTTAAGTTAATCCTGTCTCCTTCGTTCGACTTTTCAAAATAAAGTCGAACACGCACGGAATGTAACAATTTTTTTTTATAATTTATTACAAGAATATTATGTAGCATCCATAGATTTTTAAAATAGAAATAGTATCATTGCATAAAATTTAAACGGATTGTAATCAATCCCCCAAGATCTATTCCTCGAAAAACTAAATATATAATATAGATCAGGTCACTAACGTATGTCAAGATATGAACATTATAGTACATATATCATGTGAATGTATGAGTCGGCGGTAGTGTAGGAACTTTTAGTCAGGTAAAGCGGCTAGTGGGTGAGGGAATTTTGCCTTCCAGGAAAAACGCTTATGGCTTACAGCTAATGTTAAGCTTATTGAATTAGAAATCGCCTGTCTTATAACTTTACTTTACGGTAAAGTAGAATTGGAATTATTTTCTTTAATTGAAACTAGAATAATCCTTCAGTTCAACGTTAGGTAATCGTTATCACCAATATATATTCGTGCTTTTATAATCTTTTTTTTTTATTTAATAAAAGAATTCTACAATCTTCTTTTTGCTCTCTTTCGTTTTTTTTTCTCTCATGCCATTGGAGTTGCTTTTGAATGAAATTTTGAGGTATACGATAGCCTCTTGCATATGCGCCGTGGAATGAGATCATGTTGTTTTTGTGGCGTGAGCCGACAGTTAATATGTTTAGCTTCACGCGCCGTTGCCATGTCTCTTCTTAGCCACACGTAGGCCGCAACGCATACGAACGCGCGCGGAGAGACCCGCGAGGCAATGACGCAAGCCATACGCTCGCATATACTTCGATGAACGAGCGCGTGAGTAAGATAGACCGATAAAAAGAAGCGGACGAGGCCTCGTAAATTTCCACGATTCGCGCCACCGGCAGAAATCAAGGATGCCAACGAATCCTCTCGCAGTTCTCTGAAGAGGCACCCTACTCTATTTCCAAGAATCACGGCGGCTATTCTTGTGCTCGCTCATCACGATGAGGCCTGCTTTTGAACACGTCCACCGTACAGCGAGAAGGCACCTGCCTTCTCGTGCAGATCGGCCTTCATGTATAGTTATATAGGTACAACTCATCGCTCAAGTATTCCACTACCTGCGTCCGTGAAACTGAGATCTTCCTGCCGATTTACTATACGAGCAATTGATAATATCAATTGCGTCGCAATAATGTTGCGCATTCCATCGAATAATTTTATAAAGTTTTTTTTTTATTATTATCTTTTTTTTACTTTATGTTATTTACTTATGTCGATTGGTTGGAGTGATTGCAGGAAATTTCTTTACATGGCTACTTTTTGCATTTTTCATCTAGTTATTCCATATTCCGATTTTTCGCATTCTAGCGAGCGGAATGAAAGTATTCGTTAAGAATAATATTGGCGACAAGCATCATAAGGAAAACATCGTCGAGTCGAGGCAACAGTAGACCAGCAGTCGCCTGTCGGGACGGCTGGCACAGCTCGTCGGATTTGTCCTTGGGACCGAAGGTAGGCGCAGCACGCAGCATGAAGACAGAAGATGTGGCAACATAGCAGGCGCCCCCTCTTTTGTCCGCCGGCCGGTCTTGCCAGACAGGGTGTCGCCAGCTCGGCCTGGTCGTCCGGGTTAGCGCGAGGAACGAGGAAAGGGAGAACATACGTAGGAGAAGGAAGAAGGGAGAGTTTACGTATATGTGTATAATACGTCTGTGTGCGATAGAGCAGCATTAAGAGGGAAGAGAGACGCACCATGGGGGGAGTCGTTCGAGCAGTGGACATAGGAGAGACAAGACGAGGGACGAAATGCAACTCACAGCTCGCAGTCCGTAAGCGATCGTTGTGTGCGTATTATAGGGATCGGTCATGGACCTACATTCACGCAGGCCAGGCATGTTTGAAAACTCGCGCTCTTCTGGAATGTGGCCTGCGGAGTCCCCTTCGGGCAACCTCTCCCTTTTCTCCTTACTCGCCGGCGGCCCTGCAGTCTCTCAACACAGTGGACGTGCTCGGACGTCTACCTACGCCCTCCCCTCTTCTTACCCCGCCGCACCGTCCATCCTGCTCCATGATCCTCAATTCTATCCGCCGTCGTGGTCGTACCTCGTACCGCCGCGCCACCAGCTTGGCGCCCCAAATAGTCATGTAAGCAAAGACGTGCCTCTGGCCTGGCTTGGTCGCGCCAGACTTCTCGGCGCCCAAATGATGTACATCGACCATTTCTGTCTCGCTTCTTCCTTCGCACTCGCTCATGCGGCTATTATAGCCTTCGCTTTCCGCGCTCTCGTTCCACGAACTTATACACGGGAAAGGCCAACGGGAAGGTTTTATAGAAATGATAAAGAACGAGAAGAAAAAGATAGATGAGCCACACAAGTCTCTATTTACCAATATCCTGTATGAAACTTTGCCTTCAATCCAATATTCGTGTGGCCCACGCCTATCTTACTCAACAACAAAAACTAGTTGTATACATGAATATATGAAATAAATGAAGAAAAAAGAATATAAAGTTTGATGAAAAGAATATAAAGTGAGATTTGTATCGAAAATAATATTAAATGTCTTTTCAACTTTTTTGTTTGACTCGTAGATAAAAGGATCAAGCTTGTTGGCAAAACGAGACAGGCGGTCGCCTACAACGCTTAACTTCGTGTATATGTGTTTGTTGTGTGTGTGTGTGTATGGGGGGGGCGATAGATTAAATCTAATCTCAGAATCGTATTAAGTTTTGTTTTAGTTGGCCCTCATTCAAAAATTTGCTATTATTATACCCTGTATATTTCATATTGATTGCTGTTGCCAAAATTTGTTTCACGCATTTAGATTTTCATTATTCCTCCCATTAGATTCTACGTCTATAATGTATGCCGTTAATTCCTCTTATTTCACAATTTGTCAACTATCCATAATATTTATCGAAGTTATGTATAGTACACAAAACAGACAGACTGCGTTTCTAATTTAATGATTGATATCTGGCACTGGCTCTGTTACGTTTTCGTAATACACGGTTTCCGCATATTACTTACGCTTTGTATTTATAGATTTTACGAATATTTGCGTTTTGAGTTGGCATCGTCCATGTAATTCCAACAGTACAGTTGCTAGATAGCAGCGGATTCGTTGCGGAAAGAATTCGTGAACTATGACACATTGTGAATATAAGTGCGATAAGCGACCATGGCCGTTGGGAAACAACTGTATATGTATATACATACTCATCTTTTATCCAGAATAAAGAGCGGCACTTGTTGAAATCGTAATCGTACAGTTTATAAGCTAAATTTATTTATGTGCATACTAACTGGGAGAGCAATACACACACATATACACAGTTGCGTTAATGCATGCGTGCAGCGTATATTACGTGTCGTGTATGCGTGCATAGCGTCGAATCTAATCATATAGCAGGGACGGATCGACTAAACGTTTATATATTTTTTTAAACTAAATTGGATTTACATCTCGACGATCTAAATAGACAGAACATTTTAGAATGTAAATATTAATAAAGAACTCGTAGAATAAGATAATAATAATTTTTTTTTGCTCATTCTTTTGTTATGATATTTTCACAAAAATATCAACCCACATAATACGTTTTATCCCACAGACATTCTTGGACATTCAGAGGATATGTAGGGGTTCTCTGAATATCCACTGGAGTCTGTCCGGTAGATACTTATATTTATTCTATAATAAAAAATTATTGCCTTTTCAAGCTGAAAAATATCGAATGTGTAAATTTATCTAATCCATAAAGTTATTGAATTAGTGTCCCTGATTATGCAACGTGTATACGTAAATGTTGCGCGTTCAGTGAGATTCGAGAATCTAGTCAGCCCGCGTTGTTGAATGTGTAGAAATATACCTCCTCCGTAGGCGGTCGTACGATGGCGCCTACTCGTGCGCATACCTGCCTCTGAACAGGCTAACCTCAGGCGGAACCGCTTTCGGCGCTCCGCAACGGCTCACGAAACTCTCGTTTCACCGAGATTCCTCCGTCCGTGCGTCACGAGAGATACGTTTCTACGCGTATCCGTTCGTCACGCGCAGCGACGTAGCCACCGCAAAAGCGGACAATCGAGAAGCGAACGAGCGAACCAGCGAGAACCACACAATGAATGAACCGACGGACAGACGCATGGACGGAAGGACGGATGGATGATCGATCGATGCAACTCCGTTGCGGAAATTCCGCAAACAATGAGAAGAAACCTTATCACGCCTGTGTGTGGACATTCATCACTGACACACACATATGAGAGAACTCAGCCGCGGTGCAACATCGATGATTTGTTTTTTTTTTTTTTTTTTTTTTTTTTTTTTTTACGAGTTTGACATATACGTGTGTATATATACGCACACGAACTAACCTTTATCTTATCATTGGCGAAGGCGGATCGAGGTTGACTGGTTGTTTGCTATAGTAATAAGACTCGACGATTCAACGCTCTCGCTCCCTCTTTCTCTCTTTTCCCCTTATCCTTCTATCGAGAAAGTAGAATTCCATGAGGGTGAAACATGTATGTATATATATATATATATATATGTATATATATATATATATATATATGTATATCACCCCACAATTTCGATCGCAGAGGATTCACGGCGCAAAACACGCTGCAATTCCGCTCGGACGATTTGCTTTATCGACCGAGCAATTAAAAAAAAATGATACGCGCGGTAAAAAGATGCTGTTTTATCCGTGGGACGCGTGTTATCGATGTTTCTAAAATGCACTGGTCGATCGATATTCTCGCGCAAATACAGCCGTTACAAAAACGTTACAAAACGTTATAATAACGTTACAAAAACGTTAAAAGAGCCTAAAAAATGTGAATAGAAAGAACGCAACTTCATAATAGCAAAATATTAGCAAAAAATAAATATTAAAATTTATGAAATTATATAATTTTTTTTTGTGTTTATGCATGAAATATATTAATCATTTGAAGGACAAATGTTGAGTTTAG